TGTGCGGACGGTTAATTGCTTATCACCAGCGCGAAGTCTACGAATGTAGCATAACTGCAAAGTCATATGTTGCTTAATTTGAATGACGAAGGGAATTCTGGTGAAGAGGATTTTCATGCTAGAATCATCACAACTAAGAGGATTTTTGTTCTCATCTCGACTTTCCGTCAAAACGGAAGCTAAACTAATTGACTGCGCTTGGACTCAAGCGAGTGGAATTATAAATGAATGGGCAGCCGCGGTTCGATTCTCTTTCTCTCTCTCTCTCTTGAACTCATCTGTTGTGAGGTTGCAGGTTCAGTGAGATTTAGATTCTAAAGTGACCTTAGCAGGGAAACTGGATAGTACTTTTTCCTCTCCCAGCTTAAGTTAACTTGGGTGGCCGAGGCTCATTGCTTCTTCACACTTTCATCAAACTGTTACGACAAGTACATAATTCAGTTTTCGCTTCTCGTGTCTTTCAAGTCCAAAATGAGTTGACGTTTGGCTGTTAACGGTGAAATTATGCATGCCTAATCCACTAGAAACCTGCTCGAATGGCTGCCCATCATGATAAGGGGAAATTAATGGTTTATAATAGTTGCGAACTCTGCGACTACTATCCTTCCTAATAAGTAGTCTGTACATTTAAAGGCAAAGTTAAGTTCAATTCGCCCAATAAAAGCCTATTTGTGTAGGAAATTGTCTCTTTGTTCACAAACTTAAAGAGAATCGAATTTACAAAATCAACCAATCGTGTGTAAATATGATAGGCTCTGCCTTTTAAATCCCTCCGACGGAGTCTAAGGAGGTAAGAATAAAGGAAAATTTTGTGCAGAATCTTCGAAACAGAAAAGGTAGGCACCCTTTCTGTGATTTGCAACACTGAGCAAATTACTTTCAAATCGGGACAACGCATTAAACCAAGCAGGTGAAGAGTCACCTATTCCACTGTGGCGAGACAATGCTATACGACAAAATATATTTGTAATCTTTTGTTCGTGTGTATTTTTCAAAAGAATCTCACCTCAAGACCAGCCTCATCTTGAGTCTCGTGGTGGAACATGTTGGGCATTCTCGTGAAAGGGTAGTAGAGACCCTTGCAGAGGGGAATCTTGACCAGTTCGCAGTCGGCCGGTAGCACCGCGGCACCGGGCTCTTCAGGCATCATGGCTGCGTCCAGCTCCAGGTCCCTCGAGTCCGGTTGTCCGGCCTTCCAGCCATCTCTTGCCTCCGGATCCGTGTCCCTCTCTGCCTCTCGAAAGGCGAATCCTCCCGTGGCGTCGTTGAGGATGCGGTGTCTGGCCGTCGGCGCCAGCGGAGCCAACGATTCCAGACGCCGGGCACCGGTGGCCAGTTGAGCCGTCTCGTAGAAGGCGGGCTCGTTGAAAGCCTGGCTCGTCGGACTCCGGAAGTCGAGACCCAAGGCTCGAGTCCGGCTGAGGCGGCGCGACTCGATGTCGCTCGCGGCCATGCCAAGGCAGATGAGACAGGTGGCCACGAAGAGGGTCTGACGAGGGAGGGGGACTCGAGGGGGCCTCGGTGGGAGGCTCCATTCTGAGGAGGGCGGCTTTCGTGGAACAATTTGGGGCTCTTTCATCGCCAGCATGACTACTGTGGAACAGAGGGACGAAAGTATGCATTAAAAGGCTCATCATCATCATGGCCTCTACGATTTACGCATTTACAAACGTATTATCTTGGCAGTCAATTTCCTATGTCGAGTAGGACTACTTATTTTCTGTATAAGTAGTGTTAGATACTACCAGTACTTGTTAACTAAAAATTAGGTGACATCTATGAATGCCTAGATGCTGGGGTCGCCACTTTTATCGCAGTCTCCTTCCACTGCATAGAAGCGGTTTGGCCTTGTATTCGCAAACTTGGTTGTGTCGCCAGTACGACCCAAATAAATGCAACATTCCCAAAGTCCTGTGTCATAGTAGTGATGATACTTCCTCGAGTTTGAGCAAGAAATTGATCCATTCTCAGACATTCTTATCGAGACTACTATGAGAGAAGACTTCAAACAAGGTGCGTTCATCTAGGTCCCTGTGACAACACGACAAAGTTTCAAAAATAAGTTCAAATCGCGTTTATACAACGAAAGATGGCTTAAGTCGATTTAAGTAGTGATAGTGTATTTTCCGGCAATTAGATGAGTAGGCCTCACGATCTCAGTGAATTTGGCTCAGCATAAAATCACAAAAGTTTGTCACATCCAGACCGGGCTGCGGTTCCAG